GCTTCCCGCTGAGCAGGGAGCCCGATGCAGGCCTTGATCCCAGGACCCCGGGATCATGACCTGAGCTGAAGGCAGATGCTTAACCGACTGAGCCACCCGGGCACCCCTGAACAAAAGGATTATTAATAAAAAAATTCCCAGACCCTCCCTATATTCTGACAGCCCGTGCAGCTAAGACAGAGGTTATCTACCTTTTGGGGGGCATCCCAAGGCCCACTAACAGCAGCTTCCTCTGACTCCCATGCACAACCCGTGAGCAGAAAAGGGCTCCTAGAACACATGCCTTGTTCTAGAACAGGATTGCCAGATTCTCCAAGCCTGTCTGTAACACTCCTCCGGCAGAAGCTATTCTCTGATAAGCCCCTGGAGACATTAGCCACTGCCTCAGGCAGTGTAGTTCACACTCTCCGGGGTTCTGATGAGAAGCCTCACAGGTGGGTGAGGAAACGGGGAGCTGGGTGGGCAGGGTTCTGGGACCCTTCCTCTACTTCCACTGGGGCAGCTCTGCTTTCAAAGAAGGCATCTCAGTTTGGAAAGAAGGAAACCCTGATCTGGGACGCTCACTGAGAAAATGAAGCATCAGGGAGGAAGTGACTGGTCCCAGGTCATTCAGTTAGCTGGTGGCAAGGGCCTGGGGTAGAACACAAATCTTGGGCTTCCAGTGCCAGACCCTTTGCATCTCACTGTGCTGTGCAACCAACTGTGTCGTGTACATATATATCTCAAATAATGATGCTACGGAACGCTCCAATAATGCTTTTGAGAAAGCATTAAGAAAGAAAGTGCCCAAAAATGAACTATTGGGACTTGATCAAGATAAAAAGCTTTTGCAAAGCAAAGGAAACAGTCAACAAAACCAAAAGACAACCGACAGAATGGGAGAAGATATTTGCAAATGACATATCAGATAAAGGGCTAGTATCCAAAATCTATAAAGAACTCATCAAACACAACACCCAAAGAACAAAGAATCCAATCAAGAAATGGGCAGAAGACATGAACAGACATTTTTCCAAAGAAGACATCCAAATGGCCAACAGACACATGAAAAAGTGCTCAATATCGCTCAGCATCAGGGAAATCCAAATCAAAACCTCAATGAGATACCACCTCACACCAGTCAGAATGGCTAAAATTAACAAGTCAGGAAACGACAGATGTTGGCGGGGATGCGGAGAAAGGGGAACCCTCCTACACTGTTGGTGGGAATGCAAGCTGGTGCAGCCACTCTGGAAAACAGTATGGAGGTTCCTCAAAAAGTTGAAAATAGAGCTACCATATGATCCAGCAATTGCACTACTGGGTATTTACCCCAAAGATACAAAAGTAGGGATCCGAAGGGGTACATGCACCCCGATGTTTATAGCAGCAATGTCCACAATAGCCAAACTGTGGAAAGAGCCAAGATGTTCATCGACAGATGAATGGATAAAGAAGAGGTGGTATATATATACAATGGAATATCATGCAGCCATCAAAAGGAATGAGATCTTGTCATTTGCAATGACGTGGATGGAACTGGAGGGTGTTATGCTGAGCGAAATCAATCAATCAGAGAAAGACATGTATCATATGATCTCACTGATATGAGGAATTCTTAATCGCAGGAAACAAACTGAGTGTTGTTGGAGTGGGGGGTGGGGTGGGAGGGATGGGGTGACTGGGTGATAGACACTGGGGAGGGTATGTGCTCTGGTAAGCGCTGTGAATTGTGCAAGACTGTTGAATCTCAGATCTGTACCTCTGAAACAAATAATGCAATATATGTTAAGAAAAAAAAAAAAGAAGAAGAAGAAGGTAGCGGGAGGGGAAGAATGAAGCGGGGGAAATCGGAGGGGTAGACGAACCATGAGAGATGATAGACTCTGAAAAACAAACTGAGGGTTCTAGAGGGGAGGGGGGTGGGAGGATGGGTTAGCCTGGTGGTGGGTATTGAAGAGGGCACATTCTGCATGGAGCACTGGGTGTTGTGCACAAACAATGAATCATGGAACACTTCATCTAAAACTAATGATGTAATGTATGGGGATTAACATAAGAATAAAATAAAAAAAAGAAAGAAAGAAAGAAAGTGCCCAAATCTCCATAAAGCATACAAAAGATTATCTATTGTCAACAACCCCATGGAACAAGGCTGGAAAGGGTGCTGCTCTCTCTCCTCCACACCAGCTGAAGATAAACAAGGCCAACCCTCAGAACAATCGGCTAGTCGGTAACTTTCTTTGTTTTCTGGGTCTTTCTTCAACATAAATCCCCCCTCTCCTTTAGCGCCCCTTTCTTCTATCAAAACGGGGAAATCTGCTGCCAGTAATTTCCACCTGTTGTTCAATTTCCTGACTGCCTTTTCCTTGCAGATGAGTGTCTTCGGTATGCTCTGTTCCTTGGTGGTATTTGCTTTTAAAATGTTATCTTTAATGATTTCATAAAGATCTTTTTTGTCCTGTATTAAAGGAATTTCAGGCATCTGGGATGGAAAAAGGGGAAGACCCTTTTTCTTAGCGGCTGAAAAGATTTTTGTGATCATATTAGGTATTCATTCAAGGTACACTTAAGGTGGCCTCAGGGCAAATTATATTCTGCTCTTTCAAAGGAAGAAATCCCTCCCTGGCAGTCTGGTTCTCTGAGTAGAACGTAAAGCACCCCGGGCTGATTTTTCAACCACAGGCTATCTCCAAAGCCGTCACACGCATTTTGCTAGAATTCCGTCTGGTAGGGAGAGATACAGAGGTGGTTTCAGTGCCCTCTCTCCCTGCCCCCATTCCACCAAAAATCTTCACTTTCCCCTGCCTCTGCCAACTCCCCTGTGGTCTCAAGTGTTCCAGGAAATGAGGAGTCATTCTTTATTTCTTGCTCCATAAGGGGAGGGCACCATGTGACTCCCTGTGGAAGGGGCAGCAGGGTGGGGAGGGCGAGTGGCTCAGCCAGAGGTGCAGAGATCCAAACACAGGACTCCTGGGGGGCGGGGAGGGGAGCTGGCTCTGTCCCTGGCCCCCCTCAGCATCGCCAGCCTGGAGACTGACTCAACTTGGCACGGCTCCACGGTGCCCCTCACCCCTCGCCCTCCCCACACATCCGCCTGCCTTCGCCAGCCCTTCCCTCCATCCGCCCCAGGGCTCCTGCTTGCATTCCTTCTGTCTTCTGGCATTTTTTTTTTTTCATGTCGTTTTACTTTGTATTTAATAATAGCTCCACATTTTCTACTTTATCTGAAATCAAGAATCGTGCCTATATCATGCGTTCACTTTGAGAATAAAATTTATGGCAAGGCTTGCCGTTGGGCTAATTGCTTTTCATTAGCTTCATACTTCTTAATGATTACAAATTGTTTGCCTGTGCAAGAAACAGTTCCATTCTGTTCTCCAAATTTACTAGCCTTCAACTGCAACCAGAAACTGGAAGTCTTGGGTTGCTTGTACTTGGGGAATGAGGTTCCTGGCTTTTTGCATCAGGGTCTCGCCATACTGAGGGTTGGGGAAAGGGCCAGTAATCCTAGATCTTTAGACTTCAAAGTCCAGATGATGGTCCATGGTCCAAATAAAAAGCAAATTTAGGTTTTCTAAGCCATTGGCTGTTCTATGTCTCAGTCCTCAAATCCATAAAGTGGAGTGAGAAAGACAGAGGGACGAGATATGTATATTTAATAACAAGCTACTTTAAAATCCGTTTGGAAAACCTATACTTCATATAATGAATTGGGGTTTCAAAAGCAGGATGGAAAGAGTATACCCACCAAAAGGGAGCAGCAGAATAAATCCCAGTGGAAAATGTGTGCCTCTCTGTGGTTGGAGTCCTTTGGTCAATAAATGATGACATTACACATTTCTGAAAAGGGTGTGTGTTTTGGACTTACTGAGGTCCAGGTCTCAGCATGATATTCGGGCAAGGCCAGCATTTAACTGCTCTGCAGAATAAAGAGAAGGAAGTGGTCACCAGCAGCGTTCTTTCCCACCACGGCAGTGCCTCCCCAGTCTGACGTTGCCCATGAGTCTCTTCAGCTCATGGACTTGGAATCGAGCTCCCTCAGCAAGCCTGTGCCCTCATCGTGCCCTGAGAGATAAGTCGCCCTTTAACTCTGGGAAAGGGTGGTAGCTGGAGGTGTAGGGGAAGGGGGCGGTCTGACCTGCACGGAGGACTGGTATGTGCAGTGTCTGCTCTTGGAGCCCATGGCCTGGTGTAGGGGAGCAGTCGGGGTTTCTCACTGCAGAGGGGCAGGGAGAGCAGGGAGCCCGACCTGGGACTTGATCCCAGGACCCTGAGATCACTACCTGAGCCCAAAGCAGACGCTTAACCCCCTGAGCCACCCAGGCGTCCCCAACAAGCAATTACTGAGTACCAGTTGAATCGGTATGGAAGCTAAGCTGGATGACGAAGGCATACATTGCACGGACACTGGCTTAAGAGAGTTGATTTCTGTCTTCCCTGGTACAGAAGATCCTGTCGTGACTCAAATTCCTTCCCTATTGTTAATCTGTTTTCCCCTAGGGCAGTGCTATTCAAAGTATGGCCCAGGCATGGGCAGCATCAGCATCACCTGAAAGCTTGTTAGAAACTAACGTCACATAATTAAAAAAATAAGTATAAAAATACATAAATAAATCTTTAAAAATAAATAAATAAAATATGTATTTCTTAAAAAAAAAGAAAAAGAAAAAGAAATTTCAAACCATAGGCCCCACTTCAGAGCTATTGAGCCTGCACCCTGGTGGGTGAGGCCCAGGAATCTGTATTTTACCAAGCTCTCCAGGTCATGTGATTTTTTTTTTTTTTTTAGTTATTGTGGTAAAATACACAGAACAGAAATTTGCTATCTTAACCATTTTCAAGGGTACAGTTCAGTAGGATTAAATCCATTCATAGTGCTTTGCCGCCATCCCCAACATCCACCTCCAAACCTTTGCATCTTGCAAAACTGAAACTCTGCCCATTAAACATTAACTCCCCATTTCCCCCAGCTCCTGGCGAACACTATTCTATTTTCTGTCTCTACAATTTGACTACTCTAAATTCTCATACAAGTGGGATCATATAGTATTTGCCTTTTTGTGACTAGCTTATTTCACTTGGCATAATATCTTCAAAGTTTATCTGTGTTGTAGCCCATGTCAGAATTTCCTTCTTTCTTCTTTTTTTTCTAAAGATTTTATTTATTTATTTGACAGAGACAGAGAGAGAGCAGGAACACAAGCAGGGGGAGCGGGAGAGGAAGAAGCAGGCTTCCCGCTGAGCAGAGAGCCCGATGCGGGGCTCGATCCCAGGACTCTGGGATCATGACCTGAGCCGAAGGCAGCCGCTTAATGACTGAGCCACCCAGGCGCCCCAGACTTTCCTTCTTTCTTAAGGCTGAGTAATACTGTGTTGTATGTACATACCACATTTTGTTTATCCATTCAACTGTCAATGGACATTTGGGTGGTTTCCTTGTTTTAGCTATTTTGAACAATGCTGCTGAGAACATGGGTATACAAATATCTTTTCAGGACCCTACTTTCAATTATCTTGGCCATATGCTCAGAAGTAGAATTGCAGAATCATACTGTGATCCTATTTTTAATTTTTTAAAAAACCACCATACTGTTTTCTCTAGAACAGGGTTCCCAAACCATTCTTGATGATGGGCACTTGGCAAAGGTCTTTCAGGTAGTCTTGGCAGATCCTAGGAAACATTCAAAGTCAGGATTCCCCACTGCCAAGGGAGAAGGAAAAAGTGGGGTAAGGAAACTGTTTATTCTAGGAACTGAACGGTAATTTAAACTTTCTTCTGTGGCTAAGCACTCCACTAGACATGTAGATATATTTTCCTATTTCGTTCTCACAAAACTCTACAAGGTGGGAATCACAGCTGAACCCATTGGCTTCTCTTTTGTGGTCCAGCGCTATGTTTTTTACTGGTCACAGACATGCCCATAAAGATAATCTACTGATACTTTAAGCCCAACATATTCAAAATGAAACTCATTATGTTTCCCTACACCAGCCCCTTTCTTTCTTCTTCAGATTATAAGCTAGTACCTGTTTCATTGATTTCTTATTGCCAGCAAATCCTAGAATTGGTGCATTTATGAACCACTTCTCTTTTTCAGTTAAGGTTATTTCTGGTCATTTCTGCTTAAAACCTACCTTAGTCTATTTGGGTCTTCCCATTTTCTCAGACCCCTTCTAGCCAGCCTCCTGCCAGACTTGCTCACCTCCCTGTCCTCCCATTCTTCTGCTGTAATCCCAGCTTCAATGCTATATTCCCCATGAAAGCTTTTGTGAACCCTGCTAATGAACACCAACAGTATTTTATCATTCCCACTTCATAACAACCATGCACATTCCTCCTAGAACCATAGCTAACAACAAACTTGAGTTAAGCTCCTTAATAGAACGAAGAGCTTGCCTTCATATTAGTACTGACCCCAAATTCCATCCTAATATATTTGCCTATAACACGTTCAATCCTCTTACCTATGCTAGCATCTGTAAGAGTTTATCAGCAAGTGGGAGACCAGAGCAGAGATCCATAGAGATGAAGAAATGTTGACTTCTTCCAAAGTATGCTCTTCACAGGAGATATTTGCCTGCTTATTCCCTACGATCACCTGAAACTCTAGCCCAGTCTGGCTACTTGATAGTTGCCTCTAAGTGATGGAACAGATTTTGACAGAGGGATCCCCTCTTGAATTTTAAGAGTTCAGATGGCAATCAGAGGAGATAGGACTATGTTGGCAGAACCATTGGCTAAGCTGAAGCCATATTGCGCTACTGCTTTGGCTCAAACAAAACAATATGGTTGATGTGTATATTTTGACTAGGGGGTCAAGGTAACCTCCATTCTAAATCCACCTTTTTTATTTATTAGCACTTTGACATTTGGCAAGTCATTAAGCTTCTGTGGGGCTTAATTTCCTCCCCTTGGAACATGTGGATAATATATCTGCTTCTCCTGCCGTAGAGAGTTGTGAGTAGAGGAGAGTGAGATAAGGTATGTGAAAGAATTTAGTAAACTAATATCAGGTACCTTTTGCTGCTGATACCCCAAACATAGTGACTTACAATAACCACCATTTATTTAGCTTGTGATTTTGTGGGTTGGCCAGACTGTGTGGTCTGTGCCAGCTTCGTTGATCATTGCTGGGCTCACTCATGTGTCCATGGTGAACTGGCAGGTTGCCTAAGAGATGGGAGATCTAGGATGGCCTCAAATTCCATGTCTGGTGGTTGACAAGCTGTAGGTTTGGGTAGCAGGAGTGACTGTGCCGTGTATATCTCATCATCCCGCAGGTCAACTTGGGTTTCTCTACGTGGCAGCATCAGGGTTCCAAAAGAAGACAAGCTCCATAGTGCGCAGGCTTCTCAAGTCTCTGCTAGTGTCTCTTTCCTGACATCCCGTTGGCTGAGCCCAGAATCAGGTGGGAGGTCATTCAAAGTTTCCTGGTAAAGGAGCATGGATGGATGGATACAGGAGAAAAGAAGAATTTATGGCTGTTTTTGCAATCTACTAGACCGTTGCCAATTGGGATAGCAGCAGCAGATGTTCTAGCACAGTGCCCAAAGTCATCGCTGGGAGCTACAGTGTCTGTGCCCAATGGCGGGGGCATTGGAGTCCTTGCTGGAGTCATCCCCACTCCATGCTTTGGGTGTTATTCTCAGCAGAGTGGCCTTCCAAGCTCAATTCTCTGGCCTTCCCAAGAAGTTTGTGAGGCACTTGATATCCTTTAACAAACTCCTGTTTTGTTTAGACTAGCGAGAGTGGTTTCTACTGTTTCTGACTGGGGATCCTGGCACTGATAGTTTTCCAAGGCTGGAGCGCTGTGGCTTTAAATACCGCATACTGAAGAAGGCACAATGTTTGTTTTACTTTTTGGCAAGTAAAATGTTCAGCTCACCTATTCCTATGTATGTATTCATATAATCCAGCGAGGCTTTAACACATAAGCTCAGGACTCCCCAAATATCAAAGCAGATGGTTTGAGAAAAGAAGGAAAGCAAACTCTATTTGTCTCATGGAGAAAAGCAAACACTTAAATTTTGTGTGAAAAATCTAAGCTCTCTAGCTCCACTCAGTGTTCTGTTGGACTTATGTGGCACCATATTAGTTTGTAAGAGAATGAAAATGGGATTTGCTCACTGTAGCTTCATTGGATAATCTTTGGCCAATTTTAAACGGACATCTCAATTTAAAAATTTTTTTTCAAACTAAAAGCAGTATGGTGTAGTGGCCAAGGGCATGGGCTGTGGAGTTAGAGAGCCCTGGATTTGAATCCTGAGGCAGCCCTATATTAGCTTTGTGACTTTGGGCCAGTTACTCAGCTTCTCTGAGGCTCCTCTGTCAGGTGAGAATGCATCCTTGTAGTATTGCTGTGAGGATTTAACGAGATCTAAGACAGGCTTACTTTGCATCAGAGAATCATCTTTGGGAGTAATTCATGACACCTGTATGGTAAAAGTTAAAATCAAGATTTCAAATATAGTACTTTTGCATGACTTTGACAGTCATAAAAATAGTCATCGTCGTTTTCGTTTCATTTTGATGCTTGTCATGACATCATTTCCAGCAGTGGTGCATTTAGAAGTGTGGAAGTCTTGGAACGCCTGGGTGGCTCAGAGAGTTGAGTGTCTGACTCTTGATTTCAGCTCAGGTTGTGATCTCAGGGTCGTGGCATCCAGCCCCGCATTGGGCTCCACGCTCCGTGGGGAGTCTACTTGAGATTCTCTCCCTCTGCTCCTCTCCCCACTTCCACACACACACACTCTCTCTAAAATAAATAAATCTTTAAAAAAAAGTACAGACATCTTTCTCTTAATCTCTTTTCTATATTATCATAAGAACACATGACATTAAATTTACCAATGTAAGCATTTTTAAGTGGACAGTTAAAAATTTTTTTTTAAAGATTTTATTTATTTATTTGAGAGAGAGAATGAGAGAGAGAGAGCATGAGAGGGAGGAGGGTCAGAGGGAGAAGCAGACTCCCTGCTGAGCAGGGAGTCCGATGCGGGACTCGATCCCGGGACTCCAGGATCATGACCTGAGCCGAAGGCAGTCGCTTAACCAACTGAGCCACCCAGGCGCCCTAAGTGGACAGTTTAATTAAATATGTTCACACTGTTGTGCAGCAGGATCCCTGGAACTTTTTCAACTTGCAAAACTGAAACTCTATAACCATTAACTACTAGTCCCCTCTCCCCCTAGGCCTTGGCAATCACCTTTCTAATTTCTGCTTGTATGATTTTGGCTACTTTAGATACTTCATATGAATGGAATCATACAGTATTTCCCCTTTTCTGACTGGCTTATTTCACTTAGCAGAATGTCCTCAAGGTTCATCCATGTTGTAGCAGGTGAGAGAATTTCCTTCTTTTTTAAGTCTACATAATATTCCACTGTATGTATATATCACGTTTTCTTTATCCATTCATTTGTCAGTGGACATTTGGGTTGCTTCCATCTCTTGGCTGTTGTGAATAACGTTGTAATTGACAGGTATATAAATATCTCTTCAATATCCTGGTTTGAATTCTTGGATATATACCTAGAAGTGGGATTTCTGGATCTTATGGTAATGCTATTTTTAATTTTTTGAGGAACTTCTATACTGTTTTTCATAATGGCAGCACCATTTTACATCCCCACCAACAGTGCCAAAGAGTTCTTTGCATCCTTGCCAACACTTGTTATTTTCTGTTCTTTTGATAATGGCCATTCTAAGGGATGTGAAGTGATGTCTCAATGTAGTTTTGATTTGCATTTTTCATTTTTTCTTTTTTTTTAAAGAGGAGGAGAGAGGGGTTGGAGGGGCAGAGGCAGAGAGAGAATCACGGAGCCTGATGGTGGGGCTCAATTTCACAACTCTGAGATCATGACCTGAGCCAAAATCAAGAGTCAGACGCTTAACCAACTGAACCGCCCAGGTGCCCCTTGATTTGCATTTCTCTTATAATAAATGATGTTGAACATCTTTTCATATGTGTGTAGTCCATTTGTTTATTCTCTTTGGAGAATTGTCTATTCAAGTCCCTTGCGCATTTTTAAATTGGGTTGTTTTTTGTTGTTGTTGAGTTGTAGAAATTCCTTACATATTTTGGATATAACCTCTTATATATATGATTTGCAAATATTTTCTCCCATTCTGTAGGTTGTCTTTTCACTCTGTTCAAAGTTTCCTTTGATGCACAGAAGTTTTTACATTTGATATAGTTCCATTTGCCTATTTTTGCTTTCATTGCCTGTGCTTTTGAAATCATTGCCAAATCCGGTGTCCTGAATCTTTCTCCCTAAATTTTCTCTGGGAGTTTCATATTTTTAGGTCTTGTGGATAAGTTTTCAAACCATTTTGAGTTGATTTTTATGTGTGGTGTAAGGTAAGGTCCAACTTAGTTCTTTTGCATATGGATATCCAGTTTTCCCAATACCATTTGAAGAGACTGTTCTTTCCCCACTGTGTAGTTTTGGCATGTTTATCAAAAATCATTTGACCATATCATGCAAAACTTTATTCCTGGGATCTCTGTTCTGTTCTATTGGTTTATATACCTGTTTTTATGGCAGTCCTACACAGTCTTGTTGCTTTGTAGTATGTTCTGAAATCAGGCAGTGTGAGGCCTCAAGATTGCTTTGGGTATTGCAGGTCTCTGGAGATTCCTTTTTAGGATATTTAGTTCTATCCCCGCAAAGAATGCCATTGGGATTTTGATAGGGATTGTGCTGAATCTGTAGATAACTTTGGCTAGTATGGACATTTTAACAACGTTAAATCTTCCAATCCATGAGACAGAATGTCTTTCCATATATTTGTATCTTCTTTAATTTCTTTTAGCAATGTTCTGTAGCATTCGGTGTACAAGATTTTCATCTTGATTAAGTTTATTCCTAAGTATTTTATTCTTTTTGATTTTATAGTAAATGAGTTTGTTGTCTTAATTTTCTTTCCAGATTGGTCATTGTTAGTGTATAGAAACATAGTTGATTTTTGTGTGATTTTCTAGCCTGTAACTTTGTTAAAATAATTTCATTTTGACAGTTTTTTTGTGTAATCCCTAGGGTTTTCTCATATAAAATTATGTCATCTGTGAAACAGATATAATTTTACTTTTTTCTTTCCAATTTGAGTGGCTTTTCTTTCTTTTTTGGCATCAGAGTAATTCTGGCCTCATAGAATGAGTTTGAAAATGTTCCCTCATCTTCAGTTCTTTGGAAAAGTTTTAGAAGGATTGGTATTAATTCTTCTTTAAATATTTGGTAGAATTTTCCAGTGAAGCCTCTGGTCCTGGACTTTCCTTTGTTGGGAGGCTTTTGATTACTGCTTTAATCTCTTTATTAGTTATAAGTCTATTCTGATTTTTTTTTGTTTTTATTTCTTACGGGTCAGTGTTGGTAGGTTGATGTTTCCAGGAATGTACCCATTTCTTCTAGGTTATCCAGCTTGTTGGCATATAATTGTTCATGGTAGTCTGTTATAATCATTTTACTCCTGTGACATCAGTTGTAATGTCCCTTCTTTCATTTCTAATTTTAATTTTTGAGTTTCATCTCTTTTTCTGAGTCTAGCTAAGGATATGCCAATTTTGTTGATATTTTCAAAAAACCAATTCTTGGTCTTGTTAATTTTTCTATTGCTTCTAGTCTCTCTTCCATTAATCTGTGCTCTAATCTTTATTATTTCCTTCTCTCTGCTAACTTTTGGTTTAGTTTGCTCTTCCTTTTGTAATTCCTTGAGATGCAAAATTAGATTGTTGATTTGAGACCTTTCTTCTTAATGTAAGCATTTGTCACTATAAACTTTCTTCTTAGTACTGCTTTTACTGTTCCATATATTTTGGAATGTTGTATTTTCATTTTACCTCCAGATTTCTTCTAAATTCCCTTGTGATTTCTTCTTTGACTTATTGTTTCAAAAGTGAATTATGTATTTCCATATTTTAGCTGATTTTTGTTTTCTTTCTGCTATTGAATCCTAGTTTCATTTCATGTGGTCAAAGAAGATACTTTGTATGAGTTCAACCTTCTTAACTTTGTTAAGACTTACTTTGTGACTTAGCATGTGATCTATCTTGGTGAATGTTCTATGTGCATTTGAGAAGAATGTGTATTCTGCTGTTTTGGGGTGCAGTGTTTTATATATGTCTCTTAGGTCCAATTGGTTCCATCGTGTTGTTCAAGTCCTCTGTTTCCCTGTTGATCTTCTGTCTAGTAGTTCTAGCCTAACTGAAGGGGAGGTATTAAAGTCTCCTACTATTATTGTATTGCTGTCCATTTCTCCTTTCAGTTCTCTCAGTGATTCATATATTTGGGAGGCTTAATCTCTCTTTAAAGATGATAGGATCTATGATTCTCATAGGGATTAGATTTCACAACAGTGGAAAGTAAAATGTTGCCTTGGGGAGACTATGCTCAAATGGCTGAAGCTCTTTGTGGCCAGAAGGGCTTGGACCACTGGACCACTCTTCTGCTGAGAAGACCTTCCTCATATCTTCCATCCCTCTCACATAGCCCAATGTAGCTTCTGTCTACTTCTCTAATCCCATCCCATGATGCTTCACTGCTCATTACTGTGCCCAAGCTACCCTGACTTTAGCTATTACCTACTTCTTAAATACCCCTTTTCTGCCTTAGCATTCACACACGCATATGCACAAGTGCACACCCTGACACATGGGTTGTATCATTCAAGGTTTAGTATATATGAAATCTTTTCAGAGAAGACTTCCATAACCATTCTTGATGTTTGCTGGCTTTCAGTCATAGAAAATGTCTACATATTTTAAAATACTTTTTGTTTTGAAGGTGTATTTGTCAGGTTACATAAAACATACAAAACCTTTTATGTAAGTTTGTTAGCTTGATTGGTAGTTTAAAATATTTAGACAAGTAGCATGTGGGCCGCCATTGTGCTCTTGTACTGAACCTCACACACATTCAAGATGGGCCTGTAAGGAAGTTATAGAAACAGAATTAGTTATTATAGCAGAATATTGAAAGCATCTAATTTTTTTTTCCCTGTTGGGACATTTAAGTTCTATCCAAATGATGGGCCAATATTTACCCATATATTAAGATTGTTTGAAGCCCATGAACCACGGAGAAATATTTATGATTAAAAAACACACAATGGAATGTAAATTAAGAATATATCTATGTGAAAAATGCATATAGGAAGAAATAAATGAAATAGTTTTCAGGATAATAGGATTAAGGAATCTTCTCTACTTATTTTCTTTTCTTTTAAACTTTAATTTTTTTTTTTTAAGATTTTATTTATTCATTTGAGACACAGAGATACAGAGAGAGGGAGGGAGAAAGCATGAACAGGGAGAGAGGCAGAGGGAGAGGGAGAAGCAGGCTCCTCGCTGAGCCAGGAGCCCGATGTGGGGCTCGATCCCAGGACCCTGGGATCATGACCTGAGCCGAAGGCAGACACTTAACCATCTGAGCCACCCAGGCGCCCCTTCTCTACTTGTTTTCAAAATATTTATACTGCTACATTTAACTCTGTAATTTGAATAAAAAGCAAGAACACAAGTCATTAACCTGTTTGCACACCATGATGGCAGCTGCCCATGGAGAAATGCTCTGAGCTGTCAGGCCACTTGGCTTCACTTGGCTCTCTGTCTATCAGCAGCAGGGTTTCCACATCTGTGTGGACTGATGGGAAGATAGCCAGAGAGCACAGTACAGATTAAGATCAAATATCTGCTAGACGAGAACTATTTTAAAGAATCAATAAAAATGAACAGTCCAGGGCTCAAGGGGGATACATTTTTGAAATTTTGGAGAGTAAATCTGCATGATCTTGTCTGGCACTCAGCTTCATGAGGTGGAGGACTTGGGATTTGTTCAATTCTCCTGCCAGCAAAGAGAAGGGACAAGGGGACAAGTGAGGTCTGGCATAGGTAAGCCAGGGACTCTAAGGGAGCCTACAAGTCCTGAGGGATGAGCAGATACTAGGCAGGTAAGGAGCAGGTGATAGACGATGAGGGCAAAGGCAGATCCTTAAAAACGTGTTGGTGTCCCTGAAAGTCTGCATCAAGTTCTGTGTGGCAGAGCTTTTGAAAAGTCACCCGACAAATTTTTGGAGAGGACTGGAGAAGAGTAAAAGTAGAAGGAGGGAGACCAATGTTTGAAATGTTTAAAGAGAGCAAAGCTGAGGATGTGACCCAGGGCCTGAGCGTGGAGGATAGAGAGGAGATGGATTTGAAAGGAACAAGGAAAGAAAATCAACAGGACTCTGTAACTGATCAGAAGGAAGTCACGGTGACAGCCAGGATGCTGGCTGAGCATCCGAGTGCATTGGTAGGACCCCTGTTGCCAGACACCAGCAAGACTCCAGAAACCAGCAAGGACTTGGTATGAGTTTATATTTTAGATTGAAAATCTAAATTTATATTTATTCATGTCTGCCTCTTTCCCAGGTTACAATTCCATGGGGATCCATGAGGTCTCTATTTACATTCTATGTTTACATCGGCTGAGCTCTACAGTTACATAATCAGGGAAAGAAATCCCACAACCGATTTCAGGCCTCTTTGGCCATGACCTCTTGTAAATAGTCAGAACCAGGTTTGCAGGCAAATCCAGAGGCATTTATGAACAAATACTGACCCCCAGTGTCTGGGTGTAGAAATAAGATTAAATAAGGATTAAAAAATAAAGATTATAAAATACCAAGACTCCCGGGAAAGTATGTGGAATTCCAGCTACAAATCCCATTCCCTACAGTCCAGTTCAGAATCCTAGTGTGCTTAAGAAATTAAAATGCTGACTAGCTAACCTATGGCCAAGGACTGCCTGGGGAACTCTGATGGATATTCTATAGAACAAGTGTCAGAATGGATTAAGGGCCTCAATCCAAGTGGCCAGTGGGCACATAACTATGTGATGGACTTTACCCTCTTTGTTCCAAGGTCCAGTTTCAATTAGTCCCAAGAGTCTTCTCACTAACAGGGTAGATTTTATGCAATGAATTTCACTAATAACCCTCTGATTCCTCACCGAGGTCAGCATTATGTCAAATGAAGTTTCCTCTCGAGTGGAGGCAAGGCAGCATGGTTGGTGGACATTCCCTTTGCAGTAGCTGTGAGGCTCGGGTGAATTCATGAAAAATCCTTGAGTAAACTCGGCGCTGCAGTTGCCTTATTGAGAAAGTGAGAAAGTGACCATCTGACATCTTGGCCAACGGTTGCTAAAGTTACTATCAGTAGGCATCTATCTTCTGCACACTGGAAACTAGGCGCTGGTTCTTTGGAGTTGCGTTTGTGTTTACTGGGCTATGCTGAAGTCTAAAAAAACTTGGCTTTGCAGAGAATTAAATGAACAGATTGAGCAATAAAACTGTCTTGAGAGGTAGAGCTTCCTTCACGAAAATGGGATCTTTTTCACAAACTTTGTTTTTTAAGCGAGACTAGACTGAAGGCTTACATGGTCAATCACAGCATAAATAAAAGGCAAATCTTTAGTACCAACACGGTCCATTTGCCTGTTGTTTGGGGCAGTGAGAGCCAGTCACTGCAGGCCTCTGACCCTCAGCAGTCTTAGCAGAAGGATGCACGGAGGAAGAGCAGAAACCAAGGCTGCTTCAGAGTCATATGGATTCGGGTGGGGGCTAGGACCCTGAGATGAGTGACACGAGGAACATTTGCAAGCCTGCCACTGCAGCGAGCTCAAATTCAAGGAACCCTAGGCCCAGACATTACATAAGGTTTCGGAGCCAAATGGTGACAGTGAGAAGGAATGCCACCCTAAGGCAGTAAAGGAGATTAAACAGAAAGTTTTGCACCAGGAGAAAGAAATTCCATTTCCCATTTGTTCAGCTACAAGGTAATGGCAATCGTAACCCCGTTCCTGATTTGCTCTCTCAGCAGAAAAGCTAAGTGTTGGTGTAATGCCTATAACTGCAGCACCAAGCGTAACTGAAATAAAATGAGGGTACTTGTTTCTTGACAATACAGGCGTGAGGAGTTCTTCTCTCACCTAACAAGGACTGAGATTTCAGGAAGAGTGAAACGGCACAGAAAGCAGGTACCTTTATCCAAGTCACTATAGAGAGGTTGTTTTAGTTGCTTCTTTGTGCGTTTTTTTTTTCCTCCTGTCACTTTAGTTTTCCTGGTCTCATTTTGAAAAATTTCAAACCTACAGAAAAGCTGGAAGAAGAGTACATTCTTTCCTCAGTTTATCAGTTACAATATTCACTGCATTTGCTTTCTGTCGCTCGCTAAATATACAGGGACATTGTGTTGGCCGAACTATTTGAATGTGAGTTAAAGACATGACACATCACCTTTAAATTCTTCAGCCCCCAAATGTCCTTTATAACTTTTAATTAAAATATCCAATTAGAGTTCGAATATTGAGGCCCTAATCCCCAACGTGATGGTTTTTGGAGGGACGGCCTTTAGGAGGTACTTAGATTTACATGAGGTCTTGAGGGTAGGCCCCCCCCCCATGATGAGATTAGTGTCTTCGTAAGAGGAAGAGACCAGTGCCCTCCCCTCCGCCCTCCACAAGAGGAGAGCAAGAAGACATCTGTCTGACAACCAGGAGGGCCCTCATCAGGCACCAAATCTGCTAGTTCCTTAATCTTTGACGGCCCAGTCTCCAACACTGTGACAAATGTTTGTTGTTAAAGCCACCTTGTCTGTGGTTTTTTGTTACAGCAGCTTGAGCAGACTGAGACAAATGTTCCATAATCCATGATCATCACTCTTGTCTTTAATCTCAAATTGTCCCAAATTTGGCACTTGAAACCAATTTTTTTTTTTAAGATTTTATTTATTTATTTGAGACAGAGAGAATGAGAGACAGAGAGCATGAGAGGGAGGAGGGTCAGAGGGAGAAGCAGACTCCCCGCCGAGCAGGGAGCCCGATGCGGGACTCGATCCCGGGACTCCAGGACCATGACCTGAGCCGAAGGCAGTCGCCCAACCAACTGAGCCACCCAGGCGCCCCTTGAAGCCAATTTTTGTGTCCCATCAGTCTTTGGGCGTTTTCTTCTTTTCTGACTCAAGCTGTTCCAAGTTCCCCTTATATTTTATCTGTCCCAAACCTGGAATTGACCATTTTCCCAAACACCCCTGGTTCTGTGGAAGAGTAATTAGAAAGCAAGCTCAGGGCTGTAGGTAAGTTCATCATTACTAGGTTATTGTTTCAGGTCCTTTCAGGGAACAGGAACAGAGCTGGGGGTGAGAGAAGGTGGTGTTAGGGAGAGAAAGCGCGTGCACGCACACACACACACACACACACACACTCATATAAATATCTCCAGTTCCAAACCAATAAAACCGCGTTCTTCTTTATCTGCTTCCATGTTCTATCTCCCCTCTCCCATAGTGAGTAACCTGATTTACAAGAACATCAACAAATTTGCTCATTTCTTAAACCTATGCAATTGGTTTCAGAATTATTTAAAATAGTCTCAGGAACATTTTCATCTTTAAAACAGTTGAATTTAACATCAGAGTCGCCAAATCATCCCACAGTATTCAGCAGAAATCACACATAACAGACTAACAGGTCTCTAGACAGCAACCAGAGGTAATACAAACTGTATGCGAGCCAAGACTCAAATTGGACAACTTAGCAAAGGCTGCCGTGAGATGTCTCTAAAGTACCGAGAAAAAGACAAAGTTCAAAATGGAATATTGATGGCTTCCACTTTAACCGTGCAGACACTATTTAAGCTATTTCCCTTTTCAGAATTTATCCCGTTTGATGTTTGGCATTTATTCCAGAATAATCCAGTGGGGGCTGGGGAAGAGAGAGGGGAGATATACAGAACAGTGGCCGTAAGCGAATGAGGTGGCAGTTGGGTGGCAGGCGGGCATAGGAGTGTTCTTTGTGCTATTTATACTCTCTGCTTTTGTGGCCGCTTAAAGCTTTTTATAATAAAAAGATTTTTAAAAACGTATTCCTGTCAAATCAGAGTAAATGTAAACTTAAGTGGCCTGCTCTGACTTAAAAACAAGTAAGAAATATGTGGCCTTAATATGTATACGTAGGAAGAGATGGTGACACTCTAGCTTACCTCTAGAAAATTGTCAAAGGAACTTACTTTTTTTTTGGCAACTTAACGTCCCAGTGTCTTAAAGGCTATATAGCCAGGTTATCCTCCAATAAATAAAACACGACCAATCGTGGAAAAAGAGTGACTTTCATTCTGCCTATCAGTTGGCCAACTAACTTTGTCGTAAGAGGGAGATAGAAGGATTACAATATTCTTCTATTTTGGATGTTTCATTTTCCCCTTGGATTTGGTGGTGTTAATTCCCTTCATAGTCCAATGTGGAAAACGCTCAGGCCACAGCCGGATCTGCTGTGAGGCAAGGCATGATTTAATACTACAAACTGTGTTATAAGAGTCAGCCAAAAATTTGCAAAATCCAATTATGCAAAACACAAAAGGAGGAAACGTAATCAGGAACTGTAATGTTGAGGCAATTTTGGTATGTTTCTGAGGGAAGAACAACATATGAAAGGCTTTCCAGGTAACAGGGAAGCTGAAATTTGAAAAGAGACTGTTGCTTGCAAATGCAAGCAAAGGAATAAAAATGACACCAGGGGATGATGAAATGCCTGTCTAGTAAAACTGCTTTCCCTAGCCCATTCTGTCAAAAGCGGTGAGGGGCCAGGAAAATATAGAACTATAACTACACGAAAGGAGTGGGGAAATATTTGACCTCTCTCTTCTCTCTTTTCTTGGGGTGGCAACATGAACAGTTAGGTTTCCGCGTTTGGCCACCAAGCTGGCCAAGTGCTGCCCCCTGGGGATTGGTTTTAACAGATGCATGCACTGACCAAAAAAAATAAATAAATAACAACACCCCCCACCCCCCCAGCCGCAAAAAAAAGCTATAGAACATGGGGAGGCATCCCAGACTGGAAGACAAATAACCATGGCCATTCCTGTGCATGTGTAGGAACAGCATTTAGATAAAAGCGATCATGCTCCAAGATGAGAAATAACCTACAAATCTGGGGCGAAACAATCTCGTCGAGCCTGGAAATAACCAGACTGCATTTAGAAATCTTTCTTGCACATCTTAGCAAAGAAAAATACATGATAGAATGTATTCTTATCCAGGGATGCTTTGTTGTCGGGGCTCAAAATAGTATTAGATGATGAGCAAACCTTCATTTTTCTGAAGCAGAACTTCTGCTCTTTTGGCAAAATAAATTCTTGGTGTACTAGGATACAGTACTCAACTGAGATATTTAAAAATTAAAACTCTAGGAGGAGCATCTTGCTCTCGCCTTCATCTTACCACACTCTTTCCACACTGGGACAACTACTTCAGCCTGGGCAGAGGAGACATTTCTCACTGGCTCTGGGACTAGCCCAACCTGGCAGCAGGATGGGTTGCCTTCTCTAATGGCCAAATTTCTAAACAGGCTGTCTACCTTTTCTTTAAAAAAAAATTTCTCGGGGCGCCTGGGTGGCTCAGTTGGTTAAGCGACTGCCTTTGGCTTAGGTCATGATCCTGGAGTCCCTGGATCGAGTCCTGCATCGGGCTCCCTGCTCGGCAGGGAGTCTGCTTCTCCCTCTGACCCTCCCCCTTCTCATGTGCTCTCTCTCTCTCAAATAAATAAAATCTTTAAAAAAAAAAAATTTCTCTTCTTTTCGTCCCAGCCTCACAGAGAACAGAAGGATGCCAAGATTAGGATGCAGTTTAGTCAGCCTTCAAGATTTCTACATCAGGGCGCCTGGGTGGCTCAGTTGGTTAAGCGACTGCCTTCAGCTCAGGTCATGATCCTGGAGTCCCACATTGGGCTCCCCGCTCGGTGGGGAGTCTGCTTCTCCCTCTGACCCTCTCCCCTCTCATGCTCTCTCTCACTCTCTCTCTCTCAAATAAATAAATAAATAAAATCTTCAAAAAAAAAAAGATTTCTACATCAAAAATTCTGGATATCTTGTAAGCCATGTGAAAAAAAAAAACAGGTACATTAGGTGATCTAAGGTTGAACTGTTGGAGTTGTTAGAAATAATTTTACATGTCTTAAAAAAAAAAAATGAGACACCCGGCTGGCTCAGTCAGTAGAGTGTGCAACTCTTGATCTCAGGGTTGTGAGTTCGAGTCCCATACTGGGTGTAGAGATTACTTAAAAAATAGAATCTTTAAAAAAAAATAATTTTACATGAGGTTTTTCATAAATGGCTCATTTATTTCAGCCAAGATCTCAAAAACAATAAACCAAATTATATCAGAAAGTGTCAGCAAAAATTAACCCTATCTTGGGAAATCTGCAAGATTCCAAAGTGTCTGGTTGTCAGTGTAGCTTTGTGTGTAGAAGCACATCATTCGGCCGGGGGGTACCCTGGGAGTGAACATCCAGATGCAGGACAAGGGAAGACTCCAACTCTAGGATCTTGAGCTGCATTAAGATAGGGTCACCGCTCGGGTCAGAAAACGCAGAGGTCAATTCCAGAGATGAAACTGTTAAAGAACGGTCTGAGGTACGGCCTCACCATAGGGTTAGAATTCTAGGAAGATCTGATCTCTGAATTCTAAAGAGTTATCATTTGGTTAAGCAGCTGGACTAAAATGAAGGCCTACAGAAGGGCTACACCACGAGTTGGTCAGAAATGTAAAGCACCCACATTCCACGTCCTTATGCGTCACAGATGTGGTCAGCTGTGAGCACACCAACGTCAGCTCTTCTTCCCAGCCATCTTCATCACCAGTGCAGCCAGAACCCTACGGTAAGGACCAAATGAAGACCAAGCAATAGCAAGGGTTTAAATTAGTCTTCTTCTATTGCCATTTATCATCAAATGGATACAAACAGATTAATCTGCCAATGGAAAAACCAGGAAAAACTGATAAATAGCTACAATTTTTTCCCCATGACTTTATCACTGAACTACAGGTCACCTGCCTTGAAATAAGGCAAGAGTTTAAAGAAATGAGGACTTACGTACCCATGACATTTAAAAATACGATCTGGAAAACTGTCACTGAGACTGAGAAGTAATCATGTCTGCCCATGGCCTACCCATGCTGCTCTACAGTATGTACTATAATCATTTGCTCTCAGCGGATGAACAATACATGTATATGACAAGCCCCAACGTACCATGTTTTCCCTGCTCACGTGAATAAAATTACATGCACTATATTCTCCCTTCCCCCCAACCCCGATGTTCAATTTGTAGAGAATCAGGAGTGTCCATGCAACTTTTCGAGTGTTACAGGAAGATTCGGAGCCAAAGACTAGTTCAGAAGCCTTTACCTAATGTTTAGCACTTACATGGAGATGCTTTGGGGATATTCATTTTTCGGTCACAGACCTTTATTTTTAAACCAATTTTAAGTACCCAAAGATTGAAGTTCAACAGAACAAAACAAAAGGAGAACACCAACAGCTAGGGCTGTCTCTATGCTGCTAATTTTAGCAGCCAAAGGGCATTCCTACCAAATGTCAAAGAAAGGATGTCTCTGGACTAGAGACAAGGCAAAGGGCCTTACTGTTTGTTGGTGGCTTTCTTGGGGAAACCCATCTATGATTTCCCCCATTTAATGGGCCTCTGGTTTTAACTGGCAAAGCATCCCTTTGCCTAGAGGAGAAGCCTAGTAATAAATACTTAATTAGAGTATATTATCTAAGATAGCTTACTATCATCCCAGAAAGTCTTAGTAAATATAAAAGTGAACTACTTATTAGAATAAGTAGTGCCTGTCCACAGTGACTCAATAATGATTTATTGAATGACAAATACCTTAAACTTCACCTCTACTTGTTACTCTCCTTAGATATTTAGGACATTGATTAACCACCACTGTTACTAATTAGCCCCACAAATGACTAATTCAAACAGGACTAGCAGGAGAGTTCATTCATAAGACATGACAAAGTCCTCAGGCATCCTAAAGCCTTTACCTGGGCAACATAAGTTCCCTAATTACCTATATAAACTCTACCCCATAGCCCAGTTCTGGAAAAATCGGGGGGGGGGGGAAGAAAGAGAGAGATCAGCACCCATAAAACACTGCATGCCACTTTTTTTTTCAGCTATTCCTAGCCAGCAAATGGGAAAACCTTCATTTTTCAGCTTGTTTTTTCACTTTTCCTTGATCATCTATTTTCTTAATGGCGGCTTGGATAGCTTCTTGGTCACCCAGGAACTGGTGGGGCCCAACAGCATGCAGGTTCTCATCCAGTTCCAGGAGAATGGGGACTCCAGTGGGAAGAGTAATGTTGATAATGTCTTCATCGGAGATACCTGTAGATCAGGAGAGGAACGAACAAGACATTGAAGACAGTGTAAGAGGAAGTTCCGTTCAGTTGTGTAACTGCATGTTTATTTTTTAAAAGGTTTTATTTATTTACTTATTTATTTGAGAGAGAGGGAGAAAGAGAGTGAGCGGAGTGAGGGACAGAGGGAGAGGATCTCAAGCAGACTCCACACTGAGCACGGAGCCTGATATGGGGTTCGATCCCAGGACCCTGAGACCACGACCTGAGCTGAAATCAAAAGCTGGACGCTTAACCAACTGAGCCACCCAGGTTCCCCACTGCACATTTATTGAGTCCCATATTAGCTGTGTATCTGGAACCATGCCAGATCCTGGGAGGGATTCTAGCTATAGTTCCTGGAAGGAAAAAACTTCCCAGAAGTTAAAAAAAAACCTTAGAGATTTGCATCACATCAAATTTTAGGAGAGCAGATACCCTTTGGGGCAACCTGTTGTTCCTTCATGTTTCCTATCTAAATCTCATATGTGAACTTCCATAGTAGCATTAGTCATAACAGCAAAAAGTGGAAGCAGCCTAAATGTCCCTCAAGTGATGAAGGGATAAATTAACTGTGGTAGCTGCGGCGGAGCCATACAGTGGAATATTATTTCATAATGAAAAAGAAGTGAGTGCTGATACATGCCAAACATCGTTGAACCCTGGAAACACTATGCTAATGAAAAGAAGCCAGTCACCACGGACTGCATGTTGGATGACTGCATTTATATAGGAAAATCCAGAGTGAAACAAAGAGATTAGTGGTTGCCTACTGCTAGAGGGAATGGAGAAAGTTGGAAGTGACAGCTAGGTATAGGGTTACTTTTGGGAATAATGAAATTGTTCCAAAATTGACCATGGTGATAGATGGACAATTCTGTACACATACAAAAAGCCACTGAATTGTACTCTTTAAATGGGTGAACTGTATATTATATAAATGATATCTCAATAGGGCTGTTAAAAAATACTAAACAGATCCAGAAAAGTTAAATAAAGCTTCTCAAATCTCAAGACTGTTAAGGCAATAAAATTGGACCTGGGTTTTTTATTCCCAAATCCCAGGACTTCAACCCTGGTTGTCTGTCCAAGGCTACCTCCACGGCAGTCTAGGGAGAGAGGAGAATCTCTGCATCCCTGCTGTGCCCTTGTGAAGGGCTGGGAACTAACTGTTTTCGGGATTGGTAAAGGGCATGAACAGAGTCGTCTGAGCTCTTTGAAACAGCTAACACACTGGGATCACGATGGGCCAGGTTTAGGGGTTGTAGTCTGTGACCTTAGAAAAGAGTTCTAGGCCTCTGGCAAGGGGCTGGAGCACACATGGGACTCTCTTGTTTGACCATGGCCCCAGATCTAACCAGACCTTGACAGGTCCTCTCTTTAGTAGCACCACCCTCAAGCTCACGCCTATGGCTTAGATAACAACCCACTTTTTTGTGGGACCAAATCAAAGAGACAACTAAACAAAAGCCACAAGAACTAGAATATTTCCCCTACAAAGGAAAGAGAGCTCAACAGAAATAGAAACATTTCCAATAAATAAATTAAAGTTGACATTCCACTTTAATGACTACTCAAATCATTCACATGGCAGACTAATTACTTACACATATTTAAAATACCTAGACTGGTTAATAATCAGTCAGTGAGACTTAAGAGACTGAAATTTTAAAATAGCAAATTAGGAAAAACCACAGTGAAGCTATTACTCATTACCCGATTTTGGCTTAAGCCATTCTTCGTCCTGAGAAACTTAAGCAAGAAGAGGTCCTAAGGCTAGAATAATGCATCTGCACTGAATTAAGCCAAACTGAATCAATACTACGTTATGCAATACTGTATTATAAATTCATTAACTGGAACATCATATGAAGGTTAAAATGAGTGAACAGCACGTGCCCTGTCTGATAACGGGCTTAGATTTTTTTATCTGGCATCCAAGAATGCAGTCCTCACCCTGCAACTACCCCTCTCTGTCACTCCCCCTCCACAGCCACCCCTTCTTGAACTCCCAACCATTGTCTTTTTTTTTTTTTTTAAGATTTTATTTTATTCATTTATTTGAGAGAGAAAGAGAGTGAGAGAGAGAGCACAAGAGTGGGTAGGGTCAGAGGGAGAAGCAGACTCCCCAGCGAGCAGGGAGCCCGATGTGGGACCTGATCCCGGGACTCCAGGATCATGAAATGAGCTGAAGGCAGTCGCTTAACCAACTGAGCCACCCAGAGGCCCTCTTTTTTTTTTTTTTTTTTTAAGTAGGCTCCACAGATATGGAGCCCAGCATGGAGCCCAAGGTAGGGCTTGAACTCATGACCCTGAGATCAAGACCTGTGCTGAAGTCAAGAGTCAGAAACTTAGCCGACTGAGCCAGCGAGGTGCCCCTGTCTTTAATCCTTGAACCTTCACATAGGAGCATCTAGGAGTTAACTGCAATCAGTCGAAATGTAAGAAAATTTCTAAGTAAGAAATAATGAAAGTTTATGGTAAGTCAAAGGGGTAACTCGATGCCAATATGGGGAGAAATTCAAACAACTTCATTTTCTGCATACAGGATTAAGTTCAAGAAGTCAAATCTGGGGACGCCTGGGTGGCTCAGTCGGTTAAGCGGCTGCCTTTGGCCTGGGTCATGATCCCAGGGTCCTGGGATCAAGTCCCACATCGGGCTCCTTGCTCAGCAGGGACCCTGCTTCTCTCTCTCTCTCCCTCTGCTTGTCCTCCCTCTGTCAAATAAATAAAATCTTAAAAAAAAAAAAAAGAAGTCAAATCTGCACCTCTGAGCCCCAGCCTCCAAGTCAATACAGCAGGAACAGGAACCAGAGACAGATATCAAGATCACCGTACATATACTACGGCACTCACACTTGGCCTTAGAAATGGCTGCGCAAATGGTTGCTTCTCCCGCCAGGATTACAAACTCCTTGAGAACAGGACCATGTCTCATCCATCCCTGTGTCACCTATATCTTAGAACAGTGCCTTAGCCACTGTGGGAATTTAGAAAATGGTTTGTTCAACTGTAAAGAACCCTGTTATGTGTTGGCTTCCAGGATCCAGAAATCATTTAGCTATATGATCCACTATTACAACTGTATATATTATATAAATCTACTTCTCACATATAAAGACAAGCAATAAAGAATAAAACATTAACTAAAAATTCTAATGCATAAAGCCTATACACGAAAACACTCTGAAGACTTTGCCAGAGGTACGGTCTTGGCCAAATTTCAGAAAGAGATCAAAATGGAGACATAAGCTCCTCAAAAGTAAAGATTTCGTGTGTCCAGTTCTAGAGGCTGTATCCTGCACCAAGAACAGTACCTGAATTGACAGGCCCTCAGCACATAGCTGAAATGAATAAACCTGAACTCTCTGGGCCAATTACATCTAGTCTTGTACTCTTTTTTTTTTTTTTTTAAAGATTTATTTATTTATTTATTTGAGAAAGAGGATGAGAGGAGAGAGAGAGCACATGAGAGGGGGGAGGGTCAGAGGGAGAAGCAGACTCCCTGCCGAGCAGGGAGCCCGATGCGGGACTCGATCCCGGGACTCCAGGATCATGACCTGAGCCGAAGGCAGTCGCTTAACCAACTGAGCCACCCAGGCGCCCTAGTCTTGTACTCTTAAAACCTTGATGAAAGATTAGGTTTCCTTTAAAAACCTTACCAAGAAGAGAGTTGAGAAGGCTCTTAGCCTTGAAGAAAAGGTTGTTTATATTTAGTGCTAATAAGCAATTCAAACTAAATTTGTCCTCCGTATATTTTCTTTGATTTCCTCCAAAGGGTTTGCTCAAAATCCTTGAATCTCGGGAAACAGGAGAGAAGATGTCCAGGGAGACAGATCTGTCACAGGACGAGAGCAAACCCCAAATCTGCAGTGCATATTTTTGGAATCTAAGAAAAGAGGGAAACCACTTTGATCAGTTTGTTGGACCGTGAGGTGCCACGCAGGCCCCACGTACCTCTCCCAGGCAAGTAAGTCACAATTCAAACCCCACCGATGGGCGATTCGTGGGGAGAGGTCTGTATTCTATTGCAAAAATAAGAGCTGACCCAAGAGACCCTCAATTTCACAGATGATCTACCTATCTTTAATTAGAATTCCTTAAGGTTCGGATGCTATTATGTGCAACTTAAAGATAGGCTGGGGAGCAACTGGAAAGGGGTTATTTGAATATTGTAACATGATGATAGGATCACAGCCTCTAATTTAGAATAAGGCAGAGAACAGAATCCACTCCACGTTGAATTTTACAGTTAAAATAGCCTACAACTTTTAAAAGTAAAGGTTTTTATAAATCAAGGATACTTCTAATGAGAGAAAACGTAACCGTACCACTGGACAAGCATTTGCTTCGCCGGAGGGAGGCCTGAATTTGCCGCTTCTGAAAATATCCCACTAAAATGTCAAAGGTGATGCACTCCGCAGCCCCGCCCCCACAGCTGGCCCCGGCTGACCTGCCCTCCCTGGCTCTCTCATGCTGCCTCAAGGCTTCTCACGCCGCTGCACGCTGTTCTTCCGGGATCAAGCCCGTTGTTCATGAGCCTCCTGCATGCCACTCTGATTCCAAACTTGAAACTGCCTAGTCCTGTGCTTGAACCCAGACTAAACAATCCACTTCCGCTGGCAAGATGCAGACTACATCCAACGCTCCCGTTCAGTCCCTGGCTTTTCCTTCAGTGTGGGCCAGCAGGAAACAAACAGGAAGTGACTATGCCAACCACAGAGAAAGAATCACACGCCTGTCTGGAACGCTACAGAACAGGATGCTCTTAGATACTAAGCCTGCGTTAGGAGCTTTCATATGGTGCTGCTCTGGGAGAAATGGGTCGGAATTCTTTGGCCTGGACTTACTAGCACAGCACTGATAATCGTTTAGGCTGCTAAAAATAGGTAAAGCCTCTCTTAGGTAGGGCATCTTCCTACTATACAATATCTCCTAGGTGTGTCTGAAGTCTTCTTTCTTCTGAAAGTATTAAGAGCTACTCTCAAG